CACTACTGAAATCTCCCAGCTCAGACTGACACTACTGAAGTCTCCCAGCTGAGACTGACACTACTGAAGTCTCCCAGCTCAGACTGACACTACTGAAGTATTCCAGCTCAGACTAACACTTCTGAAGTCTCCCAGCTCAGACTGACACTACTGAAGTCTCCCAGCTCAGACTGACACTACTGAAGTCTCCCAGCTCAGACTAACACTTCTGAAGCCTCCCAGCTCAGACTGACACTACTGAAGTCTCCCAGCTCAGACTGACACTACTGAAGTCTCCCAGCTCAGACTGACACTACTGAAGTCTCCCAGCTCAGACTGACACTACTGAAGTATCTCAGCTCAGACTGACACTACTGAAGTCTCCAAGCTCAGACTGACACTACTGAAGTCTCCCAGCAAAGACTGACACTACTGAAGTCTCCCAGCTCAGACTGACATTACTGAAGTCTCCCAGCTCAGACTGACACTACTGAAGTCTCCCAGCTCAGACTGACACTACTGAAGTCTCCAAGCTCAGCCCGACACTACTGAAGTTCCTCCCAGCTCAGACTGACACTACTGAAGTCTCCCAGCTCAGACTGACACTACTGAAGTCTCCCAGCTCAGACTGACACTGCTGAAGTATCTCAGCTCAGACTGACACTTCTGAAGTCTCCCAGCTCAGACTGACACTACTGAAATCTCCCAGCTCAGACTGACACTACTGAAGTCTCCCAGCTCAGACTGACACTACTGAAGTCCCCCAGCTCAGACTGACACTACTGAAGTCTCCCAGCTCAGACTGACACTACTGAAGTATCTCAGCTCAGACTGACACTTCTGAAGTCTCCCAGCTCAGACTGACACTACTGAAATCTCCCTGCTCAGACTGACACTACTGAAGTCTCCCAGCTCAGACTGACACTACTGAAGTCTCCCAGCTCAGACTGACACTACTGAAGTCTCCCAGCTTAGACCGACACTACTGAAGTCTCCCAGCTCAGACTGACACTACTGAAGTCTCCCAGCTCAGACTGACACTACTGAAGTCTCCCAGCTCAAACTGACACTACTGAAGTCTCCCAGCTCAGACTGACACTACTGAAGTCTCCCAGCTCAAACTGACACTACTGAAGTCTACCCAGCTCAAACTGACACTACTGAAGTCTCCCAGCTCAGACTGACACTACTGAAGTCTCCCAGCTCAGACTGACACTACTGAAGTCTCCCAGCTCAGACTGACACTACTGAAGTCTCCCAGCTTAGACCGACACTACTGGAGTCTCCCAGCTCAGACTAACACTTCTGAAGTCTCCCAGCTCAAACTGACACTACTGAAGTCTCCCAGCTCAGACTGACACTACTGAAGTCTCCCAGCTCAGACTAACACTTCTGAAGTCTCCCAGCTCAAACTGACACTACTGAAGTCTCCCAGCTCAGACTGACACTACTGAAGTCTCCCAGCAAAGACTGACACTACTGAAGTCTACCAGCTCAGACTGACACTACTGAAGTCTCCCAGCTCAGACTGACACTACTGAAGTCTCCCAGCTCAGACTGACACTACTGAAGTCTCCCAGCTAAGACTGACACTACTGAAGTATCTCAGCTCAGACTGACACTTCTGAAGTCTCCCAGCTCAGACTGACACTACTGAAGTCTCCCAGCTCGACTGACACTACTGAAGTCTCCCAGCTCAGACCGACACTACTGAAGTCTCCCAGCTCAGACTGGCACTACTGAAGTCTCCCAGCTCAGACTGACACTACTGAAGTATCTCAGCTCAGACTGACACTACTGAAGTCTCCCAGCTCAGACTGACACTACTGAAGTCTCCCAGCTCAGACCGACACTACTGAAGTCTCCCAGCTCAGACCGACACTACGGAAGTCTCCCAGCTCAGACTGACTCTACTGAAGTCTCCCAGCTCAGACTAACACTACTGAAGTATCTCAGCTCAGACTGACCCTTCTGAAGTCTCCCAGCTCATACTGACACTACTGAAGTATCCAGCAAAGACTGACACTACTGAATTTCTCCCAACTCAGACTGACACTACTGAAGTCTCCCAGCTCAGACTGACACTACTGAAATGTCTCAGCTCAGACTGACACTACTGAAGTCTACCAGCTCAGACTGACACTACTGAAGTCTACCAGCTCAGACTGACACTACTGAAGTCTCCCAGCTCAGACTGACATTACTGAAGTCTCCCAGCTCAGGCTGACACTGCTGAAGTCTCACAGCTCAGACTGACACTACTGAAGTTTTCCAGCTCAGACTGACACTGCTGAAGTCTCCCAGCTCAGACTGACACTACTGAAGTCTCCCAGCTCAGACTGACACTACTGAAGTCTCCCAGCTCAGACCGACACTACTGAAGTCTCCCAGCTCAGACTGACACTACTGAAGTATCTCAGCTCAGACTGATACTACTGAAGTCTCCCAGCTCAAGACTGACACTACTGAAGTCTCCCAGCTCAGACTGACACTTCTGAAGTCTCCCAGCTCAGACTGACACTACTGAAGTCTCCCAGCTCAGACTGACACTACTGAAGTCTCCCAGCTCAGACTGACACTACTGAAGTCTCCCAGCTCAGACCGACACTACTGAAGTCTCCCAGCTCAGACCGACACTACTGAAGTCGCCCAGCTCAGACTGACACTACTGAAGTCTTACAGCTCAGACTGACACTACTGAAGTCTCCCAGCTCAGACTGACACTACTGAAGTCTCCCAGCTCAGACTGACACTACTGAAGTCTCCCAGCTCAGACCGACACTACTGAAGTCTCCCAGCTCAGACCGACACTACTGAAGTCGCCCAGCTCAGACTGACTCTACTGAAGTCTCCCAGCTCAGACTAACACTACTGAAGTATCTCAGCTCAGACTGACACTACTGAAGTCTCCCAGCTCTGACTGACACTACTGAAGTCTCCCAGCTCAGACTGACACTACTGAAGTCTCCCAGTTCAGACTGACACTACTGAAGTCTCCCAGTTCAAACTGACACTACTGAAGTCTCTCAGCTCAGTCTGACACTACTGAAGAATCCCAGCTCAGACTAACACTTCTGAAGTCTCCCAGCTCAGACTGACACTACTGAAGTCTCCCAGCTCAGACTGACACTACTGAAGTCTCCCAGCTCAGACTAACACTACTGAAGTCTCCCAGTTCAAACTGACACTACTGAAGTCTCTCAGCTCAGTCTGACACTACTGAAGAATCCCAGCTCAGACTAACACTTCTGAAGTCTCCCAGCTCAGACTGACACTACTGAAGTCTCCCAGCTCAGACTGACACTACTGAAGTCTCCCAGCTCAGACTAACACTACTGAAGTCCCCCAGCTCAGACTGACACTACTGAAGTATCTCAGCTTAGACTAACACTTCTGAAGTCTCCCAGCTCAGACTGACACTATTGAAGTCTCCCAGCTCAGACTGACACTACTGAAGTCTTACAGCTCAGACTGACACTACTGAAGTCTCCAGCTCAGACTGACACTACTGAAGTATCCCAGCTCAGACTGACACTATGAAGTCTCCAGCTCAGACTGACACTACTGAAGTCTCCCAGCTCAGACTGACACTACTGAAGTCTCCCAGCTCAGACTAACAATACTGAAGTCTCCCAGCTCAGACTGACACTACTTAAGTATCTCAGCTTAGATAACACTTCGAAGTCTCCCAGCTCAGACTGACACTATTGAAGTCTCCCAGCTAAGACTGACACTACTGAAGTCTTACAGCTCAGACTGACACTACTGAAGTCTCCCAGCTCAGACTGACACTACTG